AAAAAAAAAAAAAAAAGCAGAAAGGTGAGGCTCACAGAACCAGAGGTACATGGAAACATCCCACTCCCAGGGATGGGAGTGGTTTCCTCTGATCTAGGCTATGTCTGGTCATTTTGGAGAAGGTGATACAAGTAGGATTTTGACCGGGGACAAAAGAGGTGGGGGTGGTATGTTGAGAAAGAGCACACGGTCCTGAGCTGCCGTGTTCTGGAGAGGATGCCAGTGTCCCCAGAGCACTAGACAGACAGAGAACGAACCTCGCAGACTACAGCAAAGGGAGTGGGGCATCATAAGTGCACAGAGTCACCCAAGGGGCCAACCCACTGCCACACATAGCATTGGGCGTGGAGGGATCTGAAGGGAGACCACTACCTGCTTCCCTCCTCCCTCTCACATATGCCATGTATTCGCCTACTTAATATGGGACCTGCCGTCCTCCCCTGCCCCTCAGGTGTGTGTCAGTTATCATACTTACCAAGGCTTCCTCACAAGTTTGCCTCCTACTCCAGGAGGGAGTCTATATTAGTCCTTTCATGTGAGAAAGAAGTCTATTTCAGTTCTCCCCCAAAATGAGGGGACAAAACAATAGTCCCCCAGTAAGCAAACAGGGGAAATGCAGAGAAAGCAAATAAGAAAGCCAACATATGGCCCCTCCTGTCCTGATGAGGAGGGATTCTCTTCCAAATTCCCGCCCTGAGTCCTGCAACCACTAAAGAGAACAAAGACAACCAGTTCCACTAAGTCTGGGAGCAGACATGGAGCCTCCTTCGAAACCTATAAAACTCAGGCACTGCCATAGAGATTAGTAGAACACCAAGAGCGTCACATACTGTTTTTCCAGGGTAGCACTCTGATGGTCTTATTGTTGCTCCTCCCAGAACAAAAAATCCATGGCCACAGCCCAGGAGTGCATGCTGATGCCTGACCTTCCTACCACCTGCCTGAGCGTCCAGCCATCTCACACAAGCTGGATATCTGGACTAGGCTTCTGACTCCAGAAGTCATTAAACTCTATTTACAATACCAACAGACTAATGAAGTGTTTGCTGGGGACAGGTAGAGGACTAGGAAGCAAAGAGAAAGACTGCACCATACGACAGGGAGTGACACAGTCTTACGGAAACTTGCTGAAACACACTCCCGTCACCCAAGAAGCAGTAAGAAACATCATGGAGAGGGTAACGTAAGGTCATTTTTCTAAGTGGTGGTGGAATGAGGGAGAAAACAGAGAAAGGGGTACTGAATCTCCTTTCAGGTCTCCTCTCTCTCAGCTCCCATAAATGGAACGTTCTTCTGCTTGTCAGTTATAAGTCATTATTTCATGGGTTTGGATGAGCTGCTGACATTGACTGGTAAAAATATGGAAACTCTTTCAGCAAAGAGTACAGCACCCTGCACTGTCTGAGAGGTTCAGTGTGTGAATGTGCATGGACCTATGCACCTGAGATGCTGAGCTTGTGTGGATCATCAAACTCTACCTGATCAAAACTGAATGGACTGCCATTACAACCTCTAGAACTAGGTTTCATTCACATTTGCCTATGACCTTCTACAAACGCAGATCTCACAGAGCTCTCTGGACAACTTTATCCTAAGTAGTCTAGGGGAGGAAAGATAGCCAACGAAGGTTAAACAATTCCAGTGAGGTACCTTCATATGGGTTTCCAATCAGACCACTGCCTGGCACCATATGGGGCCACTTGTCCCATGTCAAGAGGGAGGGGCAGCTGGGTAGCAGACACATCTCTACATGAGATGAGGTGAAAGGATAACACGGTAGAAGGACACTGGGCTACAAATGAAGAGACCAAGGTTCTAGTTTTGGCTCTAGACCAAACTCACTGTATAACCACAGCCAGATAACCCCTAAGAGGTCTCACTCTCTATGTCCCTAAAAGAAAGGTTCGCTTTGATAGTTTCTAGATGCTTTTTAACGTTTGACAGTCTATTAACTACAATAAGCACAGCGAATTCTTGAGCTAACCTTTTTCCGACACAACACTGGACAGATGAGTCACTCTTATTATACTGAACTCTCCCACTTTGGGCACCCAACTCTAAAATCCCCCCCACTTACCTTCACCTCCAGGTTTGTATGGGTTGTACTTGGGCTTTGGAGCAACTACTGGTGCAAACTTCTTGGGTGGTTGTTGTGTGGACACTGAAATGCTGGGAGTCCCAAAGGAATGGGTGGTCTCCATCCGTGCAGGCACATGGCCAAGCGGCTCACCAGTACTTTTGGGTGGCAGCCAAGATGGATGAGACATTGTCGGAATCTGAAACTAAAAAGAAATAAACACGGTTGGTTTCCAGAAGCACAAAAATGGAAGCAACCCACCTCTCGCTTCATCATAATTTCATCTTAATCCATACTTGAAATCTTGACAAAGCTCTCTGAGAAGGAAGAAAGAGAAAAGGTAAACGGGGGGACCGGGAAGAGGAGGAAGGGAAGGAACAGGAAAAACTGACCATGGGAGGAGAAAATAGAAACTCCCTCACCAATCTTGAATATTTCTTCTGACAGTTACCTCTTTAGCACTAACACTCTTCAGGAAATGGATATGATAAGAAAGGTTCCCTAACCCAAAGGAGAATCTGATACCAAACAAGGTTGCAAAAAGGCTCCAACTTTATCAATAACCTATGGAAATGATTACCAACCAATGACATGGTGATAAGTTACCTAAATGAAGTGATATTACCTAAGTGAGATAAAAAAGAAAGAAAAGTGTTTCTGGGATGCAGAAAAAGGTAAGATTATTCTTGTCGGGAGCAAAATGAAGACCTCACTGATGAGGTGCCCCTCATACTGGGCCCTGAACTGGCAGAGGCCAGTCCGAACCGTGTCAGCAAAGTGGCACAGGCAGAAAAGTACACAGCACTTATGCTTGGTGTGACCAGAGGGGGAATAAGGAAAAGCAGAGAGCAAACAACTAAAACATGGGATGCAACCAATGCCCAGACAGCTTTGCACCCTAGCCCGGGGAGCCTGAATGTATTAGGTCAGCATTAAGGAGGCACCCAAAGTTTATTCTTGAAACAAGGGCATAACCAGGGCATGTCCGGATACTTTCAAGTGATCCCTCTTAGAGGAACCGTCCTGCTCCCCACCAAGGGGGCACTTGCAAATCGGGGGGGGGGGGGGGGGGGGGGGACTTTGTTGGCCATAATGCCTGGGACCGTACCGGCGCTTAGTAGCAGGACACTAGGGATATTCAACACCTGTAATGAACAGGTCAGCCCCACGTGACCAAGCATCAGGAGCTGTGCTGAGCCAGTATCATAGGGAAGATTTATGAACAACTTAGCTGGTGGGGGGGAGGGGAGGGACAGCCCAGCCAATGTACTGTTCTGATGGGATTACAATACACTATGTGAGGAAAGAAAAAGGATGTCTTGTCTGTCAGGGTAAGCCAGTCACCCCTCCAGGGAGCCTGCAGGCTGGGGCTGAGCTTCCCGGACATCTTGCTGAAGAGGAGGGCTCTCCAAGCCTGATTGCAACAGCTCTCCAGCACAGGGAGGCCCGGAAGCCACCCTGCGCCGACTCGCAGCCCCACATCCACCCAGTAATTTATTAATTGAACTGAATTAATTGAGAGGGCTCCATGATTACCTCCAGATGTCTGTAAAAACAAAGAACACTGGAAACACAGAGAAAAATAAAGGCCTCCATCCATGGCATGGCACCGGAGATGGGGTGACAGTGATAGGAAGGGCGCAGTGTTGGCCAGGTAGTATCAGAAGGAATGGCATGACCTCGACCATCGCCACCCCCCCCCCCCCCCCCCCCCCCCCCCCCCGCCCCGCCCCGCCAACCCGGATCCTGCATCAGGGCTGCAGGTACCTCAACTCTCTCAGAGTTAAGATCAAGCCCTGCCCCCACTAACTCGCAGAGTTTTAGGACAACCAATGAGATAACAACATTAGAGTGTCTTATATACTATAAAGTGCTATGCAAAGTGAGAGAAAGAAAATGCTTGCAATAGTTTTCTCCATTTTTAGAAGGGGATGACGGGAATCATTGAGGAAGCCTCTAAACTAGGAATCAGGAGGCTTCTGTTGCTGAAGCCAGTGGTGACCCTGGCTTTTCAGTCTGGTTGTAGGGAGCTTCATTTCCTCTCCCTCCCTTGTACCTTGTGCACAGGCTATGTACAGACACTTATTAAACTGTGAGTCCCTTGAAAGGGCAACGACCAGGGTGCCTGGGTGGCTCAGTAGATTGAGTGTCAGACTCTTGATTTCAGCTCAGGTCATGATCCCAGGGTCGTGGGATCGAGCCTGGCATCTGACTCCACGCTGAGCATGGAGAATCTGCTTAAGATTCTCTCTCTCACTCCCTCCACCCCAGCATCCCCACTTTGCTCTCTCTCCCTCTCTCTCTCTCAAATAAAAATAAATAAAATATTAAAAAAGGAAAGGGCAATGACCATATTTTACACATTTCTAAAACCACCATTAAGGCCAAGCACAAAACCAATATGGAAACCATGAGTCTGGGTTAGTCATTGTTCTGAAGCCTGGCAGCAAATTAACAATCATATGAGAAGATTTCTCTCAGGATTGAAGAACACTAATCTCGGTTTTGTGTATGTACTTTTTTTAATTGAGTCTCAGTCTCCTACTGAAAGGGGATGAAAGTGTCTGTTCTGCTTTCAACATGACTAAAGTGAGCACAGGTCAGGACCAAGTAGGATAAAATAAAGCTTTAAAAACTCTCATGCCCTATGCACATTTGTAGTGTACATTTTAGCTGTATGTTAACATTATCCTCGCAACTTTTCTCTAAACCTAAAGTCATTCCAAAATAGGAACTTTAAAAAATGGGTTACTATAGGATGCAGTGATTTCTAAAGCAAAGAGGCACATTTCCAGATCAATCCCACATTGCCAGTTGACTGTAGAATCCTGGCTTTTTCAGATATGCCGTGGATATAAAAGAACAGGCAACTTCTGGGAAAGTAAAAGAAATGCGAACTTCAGCATCAAGATGCAAGTAATTGACTCCACCATTTTACAGTCATCCCCAGTACCTCATGGTACCCTGGTATTGCCCTCCTCATAGACACAGCTCCAGCCCCACCCCCTGACAGTGCCAGGGCCTGGCCATCTATCTGTTCGCGGATGACCTCTATGGCATCTCCTCATACCATTCTTCCACATGTCAACAGGGGTCCAGTGACACCATTCAGAGCATTTGTAATGAATTTCAAATGTTGTGCCCACCATCTACACTGCCATTTTTCTCCCGTCACTTTATACTAACCTTCACTTTCTACCAAGCCCTCTTTTTCTTTTCTTTTTTTTTTTTAATCTTGACCCAACACAAATGTGTCTGATGCTGTGAACATTTCCCGAACTCCACCTTCCCAACAAAAGAGTAGCTTAATTTTGGGGTCTTCTAGTACTTGTATCATACTTACAACAATCCACAGGGACTGACCCAGTGAGCGGGAAGCTTCTGAGTAGTCTCACTATATGACTTCTGAGTAGTCTCACTATATGAGCCAGCAATGCTGGCTCGAAAGTCTTTAAGCAAGCCATGTTACAGATAAGTGTGTGAATGAATGAATGTTGATCTGTTTGTTTACTCATCCCTCTTTAGAATCTCTGTATCTTCCTTCTTAGCCTCCAGCGATAGTCTTTTCTCTTCCTTAATTTAGCAATGGAATTAATCATTTTGATAGATTTCCAGATATTGAACCATGTCTACATTCCTAGGGAAAAAAGCCTACTCACAGTTGTACTATTTGATATATTGATGAATTAAATACGCTACTTTGTATAGAAATTTTTTTACCCATAATCGTAAGTAAGATTATCCTGTAGTATTTTTTTCTCTACTTGTTTTACTTCTCGTCATTTGGTTTTAACATGAGGGTTCTACATCCTTTTCTACCATGTGGATTTGTTTCCTACTGAGGAGATTAGAATTATCTGATCTTTAAAAGTTTATCAGAACTTAGTGTAAAGTCATTTGGATGTGATTCTTTAATAATAGATCTGAATCATATTTCCAGTAACTTCTATGATAGCTGCAGCAGTTTTATGCTTCTTTGGAGGTTATTTTCATGTTCTGCTGGAAAATCATCCATTTCCGCTAGTTTTATCTCCCTCCCTTTCGATGCAGCTACCTCTCAATTAAAAATGCTGTCTCCTCTATTATGCATCATTCAGATCCCGAGCATCACTTCCTACTAATCCTTAAGGACATGATTCACGTTTTCTCTCAACTGGTTCAAGTTAACTTCCACAGCACTTAGAATACTGTGCTCTTCACACATCTCTGCCTCTCTGCCGGCCTGTATCCCACACTCAACTCTTGAATCCTTGAGAGCAGAAGTAATTATCTTCCTTGAGTCCCAGGACCTAATGCATGATAGACACTCAGTAAGAACGTCTGTTAATTTAATGAATGAATAACTGTATTTGCCTGGCACTCGAGCTCCAGATGAATCATATTCTCGTCCTGTACTCAAGAAGCTTAAAGCCTACCTGCAAAAGAGACATTTACATATGTGAAAAGAGACAGCAATACACAGTGTACAAAAAGAACCCGGGTGTGTGACAAGAGCTAGCATAGGCAGGGGTGGGCCTTGACAGGGACTTTGAAAGCTGGGTGGCTCTGAAAGATAAATGGACCAACAAAGATAATGCCTGGAAATACTGTAAGCTCAAGGAAGAAGCAAGGTCTTCCCATGGGACAGAGAAACAGGCGGGTTGTACTAAAATGAGGGACTCAAGGAGAATATTTGGGGAAAAGGTTTGGAAGATATAAACTGAGCTTGCCTTTTAAAAGTTTTATACAGAGAAATGAGAAGCTAGAACTTTTATCTTTGAACAGTAATCTAACAAGAGTACCCACTCTAAGTAAGAGTAAAGCTCTATGTTCCGGATGGATCCATGGAAGGTGACAAACACAACAACACAGACATGGAGTCCCCGTGTCCCCAGTTCCAGTCTCAGCTTCGCCAGTGTGACCTTTAACGAGAGAGGATACTCATTTGCAAAACGAATGTCTGTAAAGTCCCAGTCAGCTCTAATATTCTATAGGGCTTTCCTTCTCCGAAACCTGAATTACAGCCCTGTATTTTGATAAACAGGTTTGAGGAAATCTCACAACTTTAGTGAACAGATGAACTAGAACATGTCAGTTGGGGTTTCTCAGCTTCTCCAAGAAAGACCAACATAAACACAAAGATAAGCAGTGGTGAGAGCTGGTTTTGCTGGACCAAAACTCACTCTGCTCTTACTTCCTCTGGTTCTAGGT